TATCGCAGCACATGGCCCGCTGGATTCCACCAGAGGCCGGATGTGCAAAGCTGAACGTTGATGCGGCGGTGTCACGCCGTGGTTTTGGGGCGATTGGAGTTATCTGCAGGGACCAACAAGGTGGCTATATGAGCGCTTCTGCCATTGTCTTCAGATATATTGCGGACCCAACAACGCTTGAAGCTTTGGCAATTAGAGAAGCTATGGGTCTAGCCGATGATCTCTATGCCCAAAGAATTCATGTGGCATCGGACTGCAAGGTGGTGATTGATGATATTCAGAAGAAAAACTTGTCGAGTTATGGGGCTATAGTTCAAGAGATTATAAGCCATTCTCTTTCCTTTACTTTTTGTAATATAGTTCATGAACGAAGGAGCTCAAATTTTGAAGCTCACAATTTAGCGAAGCATGCACTTACCCTGGGAGCTGGCCGCCATGTTTGGCTGGGGCATCCAGGGAATCTTCCGTCCGTCCCTGTAAACATTGTGACGAATTAATAAAGCTTCGTGGAATTGTCTCAAAAAAAAAATTTATTGTTTTTTTTCTACTTTAAATAATGAGACTTAAAAAAGTTCCTGAAAATGTTCGCGATTTTATAAAAAAATTATTTGCTTATTCAAATGTTTGGGAAATCAAAAAATGTTCATGATTTTTAGAAGTTTGTGTATTTAAAAATGTTAATGAAATTGAAAAAAAATCGCCAATTCAAAAAATGTTTATGAATGAAAAAATATCCTAAAAATTCAAAAAATGTCGTGACTTACAAAATAGCTTATTCATTCATAAAATGTTTGCTAATTCAAAAAAATGTTCGTTAAATCAAAAAAATATTCATGAAATTCAAAAATTGTTCCACCAATTTCCAAACCAATGTTCCCCCATTCTAGAAATATTTGCCGTTTCAAGATTGTTTTTAAATGTTCACAATTTAAGAAGTGGTTGCAAATAGTATAAAATATACATGAATTCAATAAATGTTCTTGGTTAGAAAATGTTGAAAAAAATGTAAAGTTGTTCATGAATTTGAAAAATATTCACAATTTCAAATATATTCATGAGTTTAGAAAAAGTATTCATGATTTCACGAAATTGAGAGTGATAGTGTATTTCGGTGATGCAGCAAAATTTGATCATGGTTAGTAGAGATTATAAATTTTTTTTCTCTCGTTATAACGCACAGGCCATTTTGCTAGTCTATACCTAATACTAAAAGTGCTATTGTTTCTGGCGGATTCACCCTTAAAGTTGCCAATAGTTACCCACTGGAAACGATTCATTTCACTAGATAGACCGTTTTCTTTGGGTTATATATAGTGTGATCCCTAACTTCTCACATCCACATAGCTAGCTCAGTGGCTAACACCTCACTCAACAACCCAGGAGACCTTTCTTTTTCTTTTTTCACTTCTCTTTTCGGTGCAAATTCAAATGATTTTTAAAATATTCATATCTTTCAAATCCTAACTCCAAAACTAACATGTTATATATGAAAATCCCTCAAAAAAATGTGTAGATTTCAAATATGCTATTATCTTGCATGTTAATCATTTGTAGAATTAAGTTGATGGTGAAACCTTAATTAATACCTTCTCTATATGAGGTATTTTGGAAGATCCTATTTACATATGTTTTATACCCCATTTTTTCTTGTGTGTACAAGGGGGCGATTTTTTCTCCCATTGCAATGCCCGGCATGTTTGCTAGTAATAATAAATAGGAAATTGCGGTACATCACGAAAATTGCCCTCAATGTTGCAAAATATTACCACCAACATCATCTATAAGTGATAAAAAGACGTTTCACACAGAAGAATCCTCCACCTGGGCCGGCTCATGAAGTAGGAACCTCATATACTGCACCCTGCGCACTGGGAGAAGATGTAGTGCGCCCGTTTGGGCTGGCCCATGTCCATGCCGCCTGTTTTTATTTTTATTTTTTCATTTTTCTTTTTGTTTCGTTTTTTGTACTTTAAATAATTTGGGACTTTTAAAAGTTCCAAAAATAAATAATTTGGTGACATGGACGACATCACCAAAGAATGCATGATATGGCAAGAAGAGACATCTTGAAGAGGAGGATGCTAGTGGCGGCCGGTGAGTGTTTTGGTGCCGGTGATGTTTTCCCATCAGGAGTTGGAACCAGTGCCGTTGATGCTTTCAGTGCGCATGCCGATGCTTTCGGTACCGGAGTTGAAACAAGTGCCGGTGATGGACTCGAAGGCGGCGATGGCATCAATGGTGGTGGTGCGGAGTGAAGATCATGACGATGGGTGAAAAGCGACCAAGATGATGATGGATGTGGCCGTTGCTTTTGCATGAAGTCCTTTTGCGTTTGTCGTAGAAAACTATGCTTTTATTTGCGCGCGAACTATGTTTTATTCTTCGAATTTGAACTCAATCGTCGGAATTGCTGTCAAATTGGCTAATCTGGGGTTTTCACTAACTGTAACGAGTTTTGTGGATCGGCGTTTTACAGGGTTTGCTAGAAATGCTCTAATTAGCATATCCAGTATATTCTTTAAACATGTTTACGTGCCAATCTGTTTTCTTAGTACCCATCTTATTAACTTCTGGATGAAAAAACCAATGTTCAAGAAAGCGGTAAGCGTAAGCGGAGCGGAAGGCCACAGCTTAGAGCAATGGCCGCTTAAGCATAGCTTAACCGGGATTAAACACTTTTTTAAATAGGCCAGAATTTGGCTGTTTTCAATAATATGCAGAAGAAAACAGGTAACATAGCACATAAGTAACTGCAAATCTGAAATAGAATATAATGTTGAGGTTCAGTGGTTCACGCAGCAAGCAAAAATGCATAATATTGTCTTAGAATGAGCATATAAGATAAATGGCAGTAGCTCAGGCAGCTGCAGCAGCAGCCAGGAGGAGGAGGAGCTGAACTGGTAGTAGTGGATGACCAGGAGGAGGAGGAGGAGATGCCGGTGTCCAGATCCAGTAGCTGCTGAGAAGGAGGAAGAACGCCAGAGGAGCCACAATGCTCTCTTCTTTCCCCTCCTGTAAACCC